AAAAAGATTCAAAAAAGAGTATGATATATTAAAAGTGTCCTAACGCAAATCAAATTTTTCTGATACATCCAGCACCCTACCATCTTTTAGTTACATCCAACATCTTAATCTTTAAAGTGTCGTATGCATTATAAATAAAATTAAGGTTTTAAATGCATGCGCACACAGCAAATTTTTTTTTTTTTTAAATTTGAATTCTACATACACCATAAATAAGATTAAAATGTTAGATGCACATGAAGAATAAGATCACAATACTAGGTGCACCTTTCCTTTTTTTTTAAAGGATAAAAAATCGTTAATTATTTAACTAATGAGAAATTCAATTAAAAGGATTACTAGAGACTAGTAGAGAGTATTTGTTAGTGTCACATTCGATCAGTCCATTCTTATCGAGTAGGAAGACAAATTCGTTTGCATAAAGAAAGTTGCCCTTGACAGTACTTAGAAAAGGGTATCAACATTAATTTCATCAGAAAATTTCTGTCCAGAAAATGGAATGTGAAAAAGGATCTATTTTGTTCATGAACTTACAAAGGCAACAGGTAAGGGACTCCAAACTAGTCATACCAATAAATGTCTAGCAGCTTAGCCGCACCATTAGTTATTACAATCACAAGGCGCAGTGAAACTCCCTCTATTTGCCAAAAACAAAAAGGACTCGTCACAATTTCTTTCAGCACTCGTCAATTTCCAAACTTCAGTTTGCTCATGAACTCACAAGAGGAACAGGCGCCTATAGTTACACACATTGAGTGATGACTATGATGAACTGAAAAATGTCTCTCGACACAAGGAATAATACAAAAATCCAATTTAGATTTGAAAGAACAAAAATGTTTTTATATATATAATCATTTCGAAAGTTATTGATTGCTGGCCAAAGTAGCAGCATGGGAACCTGTTCAGCTTCAGCCACGACAAATCCCCACATGATTGTAGCATGGGTTTGGCCTTCCTGGAAATACTCCCTTTCAGAACTGGAGGAAAGGCACGCAAGCAGTTACTCTGAGGCAAAGAACAGACAGCCGGTTGCACCGAAGCCATAGATATTTAACTTTCATATTTTGGAGATGAAAGGCTTAACCGATTCTACAACAACCTGCTTTAAAACAAGACATCAAATCAGTGAGAGTATTAGCGTGGTCATGCAAATGTATCCTTTTCTAGGCATTAAAAAGTGCTTGAATTTAGTGTATTGTACCCAAGCTCACTTCTCAGGGAACATAATTGGGGGGAAAAACTAAGGTCAGTATGAGCAACAGAAGGCGCAGTGTTTAAACTATGATTCCTTAAAAGGGACGAACTTTTTTTGTCAGTGACCCCGCTGAGAGGTTAATTCATTAGATGCCAAATGAGAGCCATTGGAAAATGCAACAGAAAATATAATATTGACGCTTCTGCTGATATTAACTCAAGAGGCAGATCAATCGATTTTAGTCAAAGCAGAATGGGCATTGGGCTAAGACAATGCACATAAAAGAAGCAATGAAAGGAAGATCAATCTAGGCTACGGAGACATTCTGAAGAATCATCTTTCTTTGGCGTTTTCCATCAAACAGAAGTTTGCCCTTCACACTCAATTTGCCATTAGTTTTGCTTGTGATCTTACCCTTCCATCATAAGATAATGATGCAAAGATCCATGGTTCACGAGAACTCCATGCGAGGCCTGTAACATGAAGCAGGTGTCAATTGCAAGCCATTAAAAATCTAGCATCACATAAATTGAAGCACTTACCATAAATGCTGTCTTCATAATCGCTGTATGTATGAAGTAATGGATCAACCCAACGGGTTGGTGAATCTGCTTGCCTGCTAACACGTAATCAAAGATGAATAAGTGGCTATCAAATAAAATGTTAGAGTATCCTAGATGAGAAAATGACCTTTCAGATTGTAAGACATCATTGCTTGATGAAGCCAACCACAGGTTCACAGTTGAGTCAGTGCCAGAACTCTGCAGGTTATACATTTCATGGCAAATGCATCAATAAACTATGGCATCCCAGAAGTGAGAAACAATTCCAGTTCAGCAGTTACTAAGTTTAAAATACTGCTTTTATTAAAATGGGGAAAATACATAAGATATAATAATTTATTCTAAGAGTTCCAAGAAAGTTTTCAAAACAATGCACGCGTGCGCACACACATCTAACAACACTAAGTTCAGGATTTGTAGATGTATGACTTTATGAGCGTTATATTCTTTTAATACATAAATACTATAGAAACTGCGAACTTACATTCATCAAAATTTAACTAGTTCTTGTAAAAAAAAAAAAATTATATATTTAAACAATGACTACATTTAAGATTAATTTTTTATGTTAACTACATAATGAATACAAATAAAATTTCACAATACTACTTGGTCCAATGCCTGTTGCCTTGCTTTTGGAAACTCAACTACTATATCCTACAAATTGGGTGATAGCTCAGTACATATGCATACATAGAGATAGAGACATAGACAGACAGGTATATATATATATATTATATATAGAGAGAGAGAGAGAGGAGAGAGAGAGAGAGAGGAACCAAGATCAATTCGCCGTACTCAGGGTTACACTCGACAGCCCATGTCCTGGAGGTCCAAGTAATAGATTGCCAATCAGAGGTCATAAAAACTATTAACAACTAATTTTGTTTTCATAAAGGCATATCAAGAATCTAACTTATTTGTGCATTAAAATCGTAAGCGCAATGCTATAGCCTTTTTTCTGCCTTGATTTCTCTTTTATTTTAGCACAAGGTTGTTAAAAACATAGTATGGTCAATGAAATGGAAATTTGTGGCTGATGGTTACCAATGTGTATGTCCTGGAAGTTCTTGAGTGGGGACTTTTGGCTTTCTTAGATCCCAAATGTGTATCCCAGATTCGTGTTCCGCAGTAACCTGTCAATGCATATTTTTATTTTTATCAATATGAACAAATAGGCAGTTCACAAAGATCAGTTATGGGTGAAATTGAGAAAATTTATACACTATCTCAAAAGATAAAGCATTATTCTTAATGGAATGGATGCACGCATATAGCACAAGAAGGAGGCCCGCATAGTTCAATCCTTACAAGTATGTGCTCCTTCTTGGAGTTGTAATCAATATTTCGCACATGGGCACACTCAATTGAAATCGTCTTCCTGAAAATGGAAGAACGTCATTATCAAACATAAGTCACAGAACACTTCCAAGGACATCCTCCAGCCATATTATATTTACAGATCATAGAAACCGGATGCTTACATGGACAGGATACCAGTTCACACTGAAGCTAACAAACAGTCGGGGAATATGCAACTCTTCCACCCCCAACTTCAACTTCAAATGACTTAACTATTTTAAAAAATACGAAGAAACTAGAATACTATTGCTAATATTTTGACTTCTAAAAGTCTGATAACTATCTCGGAAGCCTGAAAGTGTGTGGCTACATGCTTCAAACAAAAATAAATCAACTTCTTTTTCTCTGGAACTGACAAACACAAGTTACACAACAAATCCTATTTGCACTCAACTCAACTGATGGCAGATTTTCATGTCAGAATAAGGGCCCGTTTGTTTAAACTTAACAAAAAATGTGATTTTGATTAAGTTACACAAGGGAGTTGTTGGGACAGTCTTAAGCTAAACATGAGGGCTTGTTGAAAGAAAATTTGTTTTTAGCTTATTTTGATAACCTAATCAAAATCACTTACTGAAAAAAAAACACTGAAAATATATTTTCTTCCAACAACCTCTCTATGTTTACCTTAAGATTCTCTCAAAAACTCCTTCGTGTAAGTTAATCAAAATCACCTTTTTGTTAATCTTAAACAAATTATAAGGCCACATATGAATGCATGACAATTTTATAGGGCTTACGTACTTCATTGTTCGAATATCCCAAAATTGGACGGATGATTCAAAAGTAGCTGCAACAGAATTCACATCATGAGGATCCCATGCCCCTCCAGACAATTTGTGCAGCATTCCAGCTGAATCTTGTGATTGTATCTAGATTTTTTTTTTTTTTTTAAGGGTGAGTAGAAAGTCAGAATCAACAGAAAGTCCATGGCAGTCACAAGTTACAAACAGGAAATGAGGTAAGGCAATAAAGCATGGTAGTCTCCACCAGCATCTAAGGCAATAAAATTCTCAAGCACATACAACGTATCTAACAACAAACCCCCATAGAAATTTTCTCATTCAACCTACCTTTTATTGCATTTATTCAATAAGGATGCTGAAATCTTCGCCCAAATAATTTACCCTTATAAATGAACAAAAAGACCCATTATCTTGAACTAAAGCACCGAATTTATTCAAGGAAAGTTACCCACCTCTTCATTTTCCTTAACAACAAACACCACTTGTTTCAACTGAACGGTCATAGTAAAATAAGCTTTTATACCGCATAATCCAATGTTTGAAAACCACAAGCATTTAACCAATCAAGGCGTTATTTCACAAAATCCACCATGGTTGAGCCATGATCAAACTTAGTAATAATAAAATTCATATATTCTTATTTAATAGTTCAGATAATGTGTTGAAAATTAAAGAAACTATTACTATTATATTTCGTAACATGATATTCAAATCTAATAAGTTAACATTCACCTATATTATATATTGAGCTCCAAATAGTCAACCAATAATCAATCATCGTAGTATTTAATAAGTAAATTTATAATTATTAATAATTATGTACAAGAATCACAATTATATAATATTAGAATATAGGGAAAAAATTATCCCAAAATTGATTTTATTTTGTATTAACAACCAAAAAATTCAAAGAAAGTTTGAATTGGCTGAGCCTTTCCCAGTTCTTTTTCCTAAATTGACCAATTCTCTTCTTGACCTCTATTGAATTCTAAATCGATTCTGGCATTAGTTTTTGTGTTTGACAGGTTTCTTGTAGTTTTTCATGATAGCAATACAATCAACATGAATTCCTCCCCCTCCCATAAGTGCTCAATTTTACCCCCAAAAAAAATGGTAACTTAGCCACCGATAACAGTATCATTGTGTACCCAAGAATATCCATATACATATTTATTCATGCAAGCATGTCTCATGATTCAAGCATCGCATAAAATTCACCATGAACTTCATACCTCTGCATTTTTCTTGGAAACATCTAAGCTCCACAAATACAGATTTTCCTCATCAATGCTAATCAACTTATCATGCCTTCCAGATGGCCACCAAAGAATACTGTTTGGGGGGGGGGAATATGTAGTAAGGAGTCAATTAATATATCTAGGTTCATACTTAAACTGAGAAATTAGCATACAGTAAACAGTAACATTATTAGATCATACAGCACTCAGCAAACCTTTCATGACATGAACAAAAAGGCAGTCCCAAAAACAGGGAAAATCACGCGACTCTATTGGGATATAATCGTTAAATCACATCTTGCTTGAGGGAAATTTTTTTTTTTTTTTTTCATTTTTTCCTGCATCTAGGATTCTAGTTCTTAGGACAGCTATTTAAGATTATGACAGTGACTCACCATTAAACTTAAAATGCAAAACATAAAAATGGCATATCTCCCCAGAGCAAAGACAAACTGTAAGCAGGAATCACAACTCACCGTTTGATCTTACCAGCATGAGTATCAAGAGAGGTAATTTTCTCTAACTGGGGGGAATTTAACTCCCCATACAACTCAGGGATCTGCCATACCGCTGCTCCAAATGATTCACCTTTATGAACATGAAGATCATCAAAAGTCTTTCTAATCTGGCATTAATAGCACCACAATGATTGCATTACATTCATCTGGTATTCATATCCCATGAGATGACAGAGAAATAATCTTTAGGATAAATCAGAATCTTTCTTCTTATGAGCCTATTTTCACAGTAACTGCATTTCTCATAGAGGAAATGGCTCCTAATGCTTCTAACATAATAAAGCAAGTCCTCCTCATATATGCTAACATGTTAACTAAATTACAATGTGAATTCAAAACTCACTCACGTTGAATTGGGAACATAAAAAAAGAGAGGTAATTGAAGAAAATGAGAGTATGACAGAGGAGAAAATATGAGAGAAATGTAGTCAGTGAGTTCTGATCTAAATGAGCAACTTATTTATAGTGAGAATACAGGACAGCACATTGATAAGTAATAATCACTGAATAAACTAATTATTTACAATCAAAACTAAGTACGGCAATTACCAGAGGAGTAGACGGTTGAAAAGATCCGTTGATCAAAAGGACAGGATGAAAGGTCCCAGATCTCGTTAGGATGTGAAAACAGGCCTTCACAGAATAATTCATTTCCACTTGATGAAAGCCGAATCAGATGTACCTGCAAAAGAATAATTCACTATCTTTGACGTACATGAGAATATATGGTAAGCCTGAAGTATGAACCTCATTTTCTTCTTTAAGACTGAGAGTTCCCGCAAGAAAACTAGTATGATCTGTGTCTGCCTTCACATTTGATATGCATCTAGCCTACACATTCAAAAAAGTAAGGCCAGAATGAAAATTGGGAATATAAAGACTAAACTGATTTGGATGAAGAATTAGGTTATGATTCTGGGAACTTTACCTGATATTTCAGACCATATCCAACGCCAGACGAGGCTCCTTGCATTGCTGCTTCCTCGGAGGTTGAATCTACAAGCTACTCAAAGATGAAACTCAAGCTCAATGGAAAGCGCAGACTTTATGCTTTCTCTCTTTTTTAGTGGTCAAACTCTGCAGAGAAACAACCAATTTTAAGCTTCACTGGAGATTCAGAATACAATTAATCGATGTCTTCACCTAAACCACCCAACTGTATCGATATAATTGGTTGTCTAGAACATTATATCTAATTATCTGATCAATTCGTTACATTGAATAATTGAACATAGTCAAAACAATGCAATCAGATTAGAATCATTAATCTAAAATACATCTAGGTATAAATTCTTAATTACAGGGTTATGCGTACAATTGAAAAATGTGAAACTTGTCCAATTGTATAACATGAGTAGTTAATACAACAGTAGGATCTACAAAGGTATTATTCTCAGCTCACATGTGGTTTAGAATACATAATAACAGAGCATACACCAAATCAGGGCAAGTAAGAGAGAGATGGACGTGCATTGCAGGTTCTACATTTAACTCTTAACCAATCTTACAACAGGACTTGCATAAAACTACTTTGGTTTTGACAACAAAAGGAAAATGAAGCAAGAATGTGCACTAGGCAGGGGAGAACATCTTTCTCTGGTCCAATACGAAAGCTTCAAAGACATGCATTTCAAAATCATAACAGATTTCATATAGACGAACCTGGGTACAGTTGACGGACAAAAGACGAAGGAGTTGTTCGCCCGATCTATGTCAGGCGGAGGAAAGAAGGAGAAAAGGAGTGAACCGACAGAACTCGCAGCCTCGATCTACTTTTCGATCTGAGAGTGAGAAGAGGAAAGTGAACACAGCACCGTCGCAGAGGAGACTGAACACCAACTACCGTGATCTGAGATGAGGATATGGGAGGATCGGAGTCGCGGAGCTTACCGGAGAGATCATAAAAGTTGGGAAGGGAAGTGGATATTTGGAAAAAGGCTGGCAAAAATTAATTTTTTGCCCAAAAAAAAACTCAATTACTGCTTTAACTATTTACTTGTATATAAAATTTTAATTTGATTTCTTAACTTTAAAAAATATATTTTAATCTTTTAATTCTAAAATTGTTAAAAAAATAATGATATTAAGATGTAAATGCTGATAAATATTAAGTTTAATTTTTAAAATAACCACAATTGTTATAAAAAAAATTATTTAAGATTAAATGACTAAAAATATACTTTTTTAAATTAAGAGACTAAGATGAATCCTGAACCAAATATATATTTTTTCCATTATTATTGACCTTGGTTTTTTATTACTTTATTTGAATTTGTTGGAATAATAGAATTGAAATTTAAGTAATGAGAATATGAGATACATTTCTTTCAAGATTACTTCCTAAATTTGGCCCCAATATTCAAGTATTATCAAGCTTAATTAGAAGTAGTTCTTTCAAAAAGGTCTTCAGTATTTATATGGATTGAAACTCAATATTTTCGTGCTTAAACGATCAAAGCTCCTCCTCCTACTTAGATTAAAGCATATTGGCTTGGTTTTGGTGTTCTTAGTGATAGATTATACACTACTTGTTAATATTTTCTTTTATTTTTGGTTAAATCCCGCTTTGCAATCCGCTATTGCCTCCCTTTCTTTTAATGGAGTGTAGTTTAGAGGGTGAACTGCTATAAAATTATAAAGGAAAAACATAATTACTAAAAAGTCTAATAATAAGAAAATAGTTTGTAATGGCAAGTTTTAATTTAGAAAATAATGAAGTCTCATTTGTCATTGAAACTTTTTTATAGTTATTTTCTTTTTTGTGAACTCATAGTAGTTATTGTGAGATATTTTATTATTATTATAAATTAGTAAAGTATTTAATTAGGAATTAATAAAATCTCTTGAGTGTGGCCCGTGGTCAGGAAAAAAGCCCAAGCCTAGTAGGGTTATGATTTTCAATCAATAATATATTTACTCTTATAGCAAGTTTTTACAATTAAGGTTTTGACAGCTGAAATTTAGAGAGCAATACATTCAGTGAAAGAAAAACCCTATCTACTCCTTGAGGTTCCCTGACTGGTGACGACTATTTCCGGTTACCATCACTGTGCCTTTATGCCAGTCAAAAGAGACCTGAATCATTAATTCTTCTGACCTTAAATCTGTTTTGCAGTCCTCATCTTCTATCCAGGATCCCAGATCAGTTAAGCAATAGCTATGGCGAGAGGTAACTCTAATCCTAAAGTCTTCTGTTGTATTGTTATAAGAGCATTCATTATGTATCATACTGGATTATATGTTTTATATATTATTTGTTTGAATATGTCTTACACATGGCATCAGAGCCAGGTTAGGTTATACTCTACCTAATTTTATTTTATTTAACACGTTTTGTTTTTATCTGGGACGATCTGACTTTATATGGAATTTACTGTTGTATTTTTTTATTGGTTCCATAAGCCAGATCAAAGATAACTGAACTGTAATCTATTTTCAAACCATATTGGTTATTGTTTTTAATAAATGCGAAATTTCAGATGAATGGGACGCGAGGAGATGAACGATTGTTCCTCTAATGATCACCGTCACCAACTCCGTTAACGTTAGGAACCCGAAATCACTGTGGTTTTTCCTTTCTTCTTTCGAGTCCGAATTGATCTGTGTTTTGGCTATCTTTTTCCATTGAAATATGTTTGAATTGGTTGCTTTTCATATTTTTGGGCATTATACTGCCAAAACCACAGCCCAAAATGCTAGAAAACAGTGTCTTTAACACTAGAAATGGACCAGGGCTGCCGAAAAAAATAGCAGAATCAAGTGGCCATGTAGGGGCTGTGAACTCGGTTAAAACCGAGTCAGGAGTTGGGTTAACCTAACCCGACTCCATGAGGAAGAAGGCCCATTGTCAAAATGCAACCGTCTTGGGGTTCCTTTGGGGCGCCTTTAGTTTGATAAAAAACAACGTCGTTTCGGTTAACAGTGAAACGCACCGTTTCACTTATGCAGAATTTGGGCCGAACGACTTTAGGCCTTGAATTGGGTTTTTAAAAAAAACTTTTTTTTATCTATTTTTGAATTTGGGCGGAAATTTTTTTCGGGCTGTCATTTTATTTTTTTAATTTCAAACTGGGCCAAGAAAGATTGGGTTCTGCAATTTTTTTAATTATATTTTTTCTCTCTTTTCTCGGTGTGGGCCACTCTGTTTCATTTTTAAAAAAAAAAAAAAAAGGGATTTTCTTTTGCACAGTGACATTACAGAATGTTTGGGCCTCTGGTTTGGGCTTGTTTTTGTATAGAATTTGTTTTTTTTGTCATTGTTTGCTTTATGGGCTTCTGTTTTGGGTCTAAACAGTTTTATTTTATTGTTCTGGAATGTTCTTTTAGACCCTGTCTTGTTTATATTCTATTTAGCCCATTTAATTTAATTTCCAGAATTTGTTTATGTTAAACAAACCATTAATTGAAAACTGTTTTATTTATTTAAAAATGGTTTTCACATGTAATTTATTTTATGCAAATATTTAAATTGTTTAAATAGAGATAAAAATTAATCTTAGCTATTTCACATTTTTGTGCAAATTTGCAAAATTGTTTCTTATATTGTTTATTTGCCTAAATATTTGGACAATAAATTTAGACAAATTAATTAATTATTTGAATTTTGCATTGTTTATTTTGAGTAGAAATATGCTAAGGTTAGTGTTTAAATAATTGTTTGGATGCATAAAATAGTGGGAGGACTTAATATAATAATTAATTACTTGTGTTCTCCATTAATACTGTGCATATGTTGGATTAAATGTACTCATTTGATATTTGTGATTCGCATGCTTTCTTAAGGAGTAGCCACAACATCCTTTCTCTGTTTCATGCAACATAGATCACATAATAGACTTATAAAATATCAATTATAATTAAATATGCATTCATAATTGATCTTTGCCCATAAGTAGATAATTATAAATGTATATTTAATTAGGGTAGGATAGAATTGCCTTGTATTTTCTAAGTAGCTCACAGGTATTAGGAAATATAAATGCATTCTGATTCCATTAATATGAGATAAATACATGCTATACTAATTTCTTTGCCCACAGGTAGAACTTAATGATACGTATTTATAATTGTATGCTTTATTAATGTTTTTTAAGCATACATGGCACAGTTATTGTGATTATCTGATTGATTTGTAAGTTTGATAATTCTCTGATATTGCAGCTTCATTTTCTGTCCCTAACCTGATTATTGATACCAGTAACAAAATCATATTAGATGGTACTAATTACCCTAATTGGGGGAAGATATTTCCTTACAGCTTGGTTGCTATAATATGGACTTTGTCTTGGAGACTGATAGGCCTCCTAAACTATCTGATGACTCGGCTGATAAGAATTACTATGAACATTGGGAGAAAACCAACCACCTTACTCTCTTGATCATTAAGACAAGGATTGCAAGGAGCATTCAGGGAGCAATCCCTAAATGTGAGACTGCTAAAGAATACCTAAAAGCTATCGATAAACAGTTTAAACCGACAGATAAGCAGATGGGAGGTACTATCATGTCAGAGCTATGTGCTATGAAGCTCACAGGTATTGATGGAATCAGGCAGCATATTATGAAATTGAGAGATCTATCCTTTCAACTGAAAACCTTCAAAATGGAACCAACTGAGCAATTTCTGATGCAATTAATTCTGAACTCCCTTCCTCCACAATTTGATGCCTTTAAGGTGTCTTACAACACACATAAGGAAAAATGATCAGTAGATGAACTACTGTCCATGTGTGTGTAAAAAGAAATTAGGCTGTTGATGAGTGGAAATAGTTCATATAAAAAAGCTTATTTGGGAAAAAGTTCCAATAAGGGTGGCAGTAGGAAGGGAAATAAGGATGATAAGAAGAAGAAAAGAATCCCTCCTGCTAATGCCTCAAATAAGAAGGATGTCAGATGCTTCTTCTATAAGAAGAAGGGGCACATGAAGAATGAGTGCTCCAAGAGGAAAGCATGGCTTGAATATAAAGGTATGTTTACTTCTCATGTTACTTTAGAATCTCATGCCATTAATGTTGATTATGACACTTGGTGGATTGATATTGGTTCTATGATCCACATTTCCACAACCATGCAGGACTTCTTAACAAGCAGGCCGCCACATCCGAGTGAGGAATGAGTTCTATCAGGCAGCAAGAACGCAGACCGTGTGGAGTTGGTTGGGACTTATCGCATTTTTTTGAATAATACTCATGTGGACCTTTTTGAGATTTTTTATATTCCGACTTACATGAGGAACTTAATTCCCATTTCAAAATTAATTCCGTTGAATTATGGTTTATGTCTTGAAAAAGGCTCTATGTTTTTTAGTAGACATCATGTTAAGATTACAGACATTGTAATGACGGGTGATTTATTTAAAATAATTCGTGATCCTGTTCAATCTTTTACTATTTCACATGGTATTAAATGTAGTATCATCAATGAGAATTCTATTAGCTTATGGCATAAGAAATTGGGACATATCTCCATTGAGAGAATCAAAAGGTTAACTAAAGAGGAAATTCTTCCTCTCTTAGATCATTCGAAATTTGATTCTTATGTGAACTGCATAAGGGAAAAGCATACCAACAAGTCACAAAAGGGAGCAAAAAGAGGTTCTGAATTGCTTGGGATTATACATACCGATATTTGCTACTCTAATTTAACCACGCACAGTTAAAAGTATTTTATTACCTTTATTGACAATTACTCGCGATATATATATATCTACTTGCTTTATAATAAAAGTGAGGCAGTAGATGCCTTTAAGGAATACGGAGCAAAAGTAGAAAAACAAATTGGAAAACCAATCAAAATTGTAAGGTTTGATAGAGGTAGTGAATACTATGGTAGGTACACAAATAAAGGACAAGCACTGGTCCATTTGCA